GAGGTGAGCCGCGTCGGCATGTCGCCTGTGGCAACACGGCACGGCACGGCATAACAGCCTTCCCACCAGCCGTGCGCTGTATTGTCGTAGCCTTCCCGCCAGCTGTGCACCCGCGTATTGCCTGTGGCGACATGGCACAGCGCTACCTCCTTCCTGGCAACCATGCGCTGGGGTATCGTCTATGGCAATACCACACGGGTCGCTGGAAGGCTGCGACACTATCTAGTGTTGCCATAGGCAATACATTACTGCACAACGGCCAGGAGACCTGCCACGCTGTGTCGTATCGCCACGGGCAATACTACAGCACACAGCTGCCAGGCAGGCTGCAGCACCCGTGTGCCAGTGTATCGCCTGTGGCGACACAACGCAGCCCCAAAGCCTTCCGGCCAGCTCTGTGTGAGCAAATCGCCTGTGGCGACATCACACGACACCACTTGCCCACATATACACATATCAGGACAGCTGTGCGCACTGAGCAGAAAGGATCACTCATGTTAGCGTGGTGTCACCAGGACAAACCAGTCGTTCTCAATTACAACTGGACCTAAACTCATGAAATGAAATGTAGGAGGCAACAGAGGACATTACCTGCATCGAAAGAGCCCGCTACCTCGAGAAAGCACGGTTGTTTGACTAAGAACGAGTGATTTTACGGATCATGGGGGCTGCCCACCAGGTTCAGGTCATCGTTCTTGATGGTGAGTGGACCGTTTCACGTCAAACCAAGTACCATATCATATGTACAACGCATGTACGCATTGATCGAACCCGTTACCTCGCAAACGCACGAGCATTTCATTGAGAACGACCAATTTTATGGTTGGCTGGAGGTACTCACCAGGCTCGGATCGTCGTTATCGACAGCAAGTGGACCATTTCACATGAAACCAAGTAAAAGGGCATATGTGGGACGCCTGTGCGCGCCGATCGAGCCCACTACCTCGCAAATGCACAATCATTTGACCGGGAACGAGTGATTTTACGATTCGGGAGGGGTACTCACCAAGTTGAGATCGTGATTCTCGACGGCAAGTGGACGGTTGCACGGCACGGCGGCCTTCATGCCAGCCATGCGCTGTATCGCCTGTGGCGATATGACATGGCGTTGCAGCCTTACCGCCAGCTGTGCACCCGCGTATTGCCTGTGGCGACACGGCACAGCGCTACATTGTTTCTTATGTACTGAGGTATGGTCTGTGGCAATACCACACGGGTCGCAGGAAGGCTGCGGCACGACAGTGTCGCCATAGGCGATACACCGCTGCACGACTGCCACGCTGTGCTGTATCGCCACGGGCGACACTCCAGCACACAGCTGCCAGGCAGGCTGCAGCACCCGTTCGCCGGTATCGCCTGTGGCGACGCAACGTGCAGCGTAACGCAGCCCCAATGCCTTCCGGACACCTATGTGTGGGCGCATCGCCTGTGGCGACATCAGACGACACCGCTTGCCCACGTATTCGCACGTCAAGACAGCTGTGCGCACTGAGCAGGAGGAAGCACTTAAGTTAGCACGATGGGAAAACCCGTCGTTCTCGACGACGAATGGGCCAATTCTCATGAAACAAAAGGCAGGAGGCAGTGGAGGACATTGATGTATGTCGAAAGAGCCCACTATTTGGAGAACGCACGGTCGTTTGACCGAGAACGAGGGATTGTAGACTTCGTGGGCGGATACTCACCGGGTTTCAGATCGTCGTTCTCGACAGCGAGTGGATGGTTTCGCATCAAATTAGATACCAGGTCATAGTGAGATCGTCTGTGCGAGTCGATAGAGCCAGCTACCTAGCAAACGCACGATCATTTGGCTGAGAACGAGTGATTTTACAGTTGGTGGGGGGTACCTACCAGGGTCAGATTGTCGTTCTCCATGGCGAATGGACCGTTTCACATGAAACAAAGTACAGGGTCAGATGTGGGACACCTGTTCACGTGGATCGAGCCCGGTATCCCGCAAACGCACGGTCATTTGACTGAGAACAAGTGATTTTACGATTGGTGAGGAGTACTCACCAAGTTGGGATCGTTGTTCTTCACGGCGAGCGGACCGTTTCACATGAAATCAAGTACAGGTCCATATGCAGTATGACTGTATGCGTCAATCGAGCCCACTACCTCACAAACGCGCGGTCATTTGGCTGAGAACAAGGAATTTTAGGATTAATGAGGGATACTCACCAAATTCAGATCATCAACCTCGCCGGCGAGTAGACCATTTCGCATAAAACAAGACACCAAATTCAGTGGACGGAATCAATGTGTATCAGTAGAGCTCACTGTTTCCAGAATGCACCTTCATTTGACGTAGAACGGATGATATTACAACTGAAATTGGCGCTGTGGTACAGACTGTGCCCAGATCGTATGGCCCAACGTCGCCTTTGGCGATACGCCACCACGGGGCGCTGCGTCGTCGCACCGGGCCGCACGGCTTGTGGCTGAGTGCCTGTAGACCTCTTGACGTGCCATGCACTACCAAAGCCAGCATCACGCCGCTTCTGACGAGTTTGTGTGGCACAAATATCAGACAGCGGGTTTCGTACCCTGAAGAACTACACGGAGTGAGCATCGCCTATGGCGACACGACACAGCACACGAGTAATATACAAGGCGGCCCTCCAAATGCTCAGCGTCTAGCCTTCAATGGTCAGGCTCCAAAACCGTGCACACTACATTCAGGTGTAGTATCGCCATTGGCGACACAGTGCACAGGAGAACTACTGCAGCACACACGTGCTAGATAGCCTTTGTTATGTTCTATAACTGAAACAACGAAGACCAGGTGTTGTATCGCCTTTGGCGATACTGCACTGCTCAGGAATGATATTAGACGGGCGCACCATGGGGAAGGTTCGACTTTAAGTTCGTCGTTATTGACGACAAGCGGGTCAATTCCGACGAGGTAAGTGTTGAGGATGGGAGCGGACATACATGCGACCCGTTCGAGCCCAAAACAACGGGAATTGAACGAAGATTGAATGAGTCACAACGATGTTTCGCAGGGGGAGATACTGAGAGATGACTTACCGCAAGGATCGTCGTCGTTCTCGACGATTAAACCGCCGATTGGTTGGGTGCCAGGTGGGTAGCGGATAGCACACGGTCCTCCCGTCATTTCGAGCCCGCAACGTCGAGATTGGAACCGATATTGAAGAAGTTATGGTTGATTTTCTGTGAGGAGAATAGCTGAGGGTAATTCACAGGCTACAATCTCGTGTAAGTTGGTCAAGACACCATAGTGTCGCCCTAAACCTTCAATGCGATAGTCTATTCTCACCCCTGTCATTCTATCGAGCCCATGACGACGATTATTGAGCGAGAATTGAGCAAATGCGAGATGATATTAGAGGAGGGAGTGCTGGTGGGCATGACACACTGAGCTAAAACACTTTGTTCTCGACCGCTTCCCGGCTTTTCTGCTTCAAAGCTGGATGGCCGTGAGTGGTGGAAGTGTCTCCCGTAATGTAGAGCCAACCACGATGAGAATCGAGCCGGTATTGAGCCAACGCGGGCAAATATTCGAAGGAGGGTTGAGGGACGAAACTTACGGAACCAAAACCGCTCTATCTCCCTCATTACCTCGTCGATTCGCATCAAACCTTGTATGCTGCAGGCATAACTAACCGTTTCCGTCCGTTTGAGCCTATATAAAGCCGAATCGAAGCACAAATGAGCAAACGCGAACATAAATACGAAGAGGAGCATTTTCGGACCATGGTCCACCTCAGAGATTCGTATCAATGACGTCGATTTGCAGTGGTCCTGCGTAGGATAGCGAACGGGGATCAATAGCACATACATCGACCGTCATTTCAAGCTATTGACATTCAGGAACGGACCGCAAATGAGCGAGAACGAACCGAGTTTCGAGGAGGAGGGTATTGAGGATAAAATTCACCTCACCGTTCGTGCTCGTTCTAGACGATGCGCGGGATGTTTCTCTCCGAATCTTGATTGGGGATGAGAGTAGGTACCTATGCCGTCCTTTCGAGCCCGCGACCTTGAGCGACGAAGCATATTTGAGCAAACACGAGTTCATTTTCGGAAGAGGGTGGTATGGGTGAAAACCCATCCGCATCGTTCACCTCGTTCTCACCATTGAGTAGGCCATTTCCTTCCTAACCTTTATCAGGGTTCGTTCACCTACCTCGCTCCTTCATTTTGAGCCCGCTATATTCAGAATAGAACGTCAACTGAGCAAATGCGAACACATTTTCGAGAAGGGGCGATAGCAGCGAAAAGTCACCAATATATTTGGCCTCGTTCTCGAGGATGAGCGGGCGTTTGCCTGCCAAACCGGTTTCGGAGCTGATAGCAGTACTCTCTGCCGTCATTTTGAGCCCGCTACATTGAAAATCGAGAAGAAATTGACCAAATGCGAACAAACCTTCGAGAGGCATATATGGGGGACAAAAATATACCTATGTTATCGTCCTTGTTCTCGACGTTAGCTGAGCCTTTTTCTATCAAACCTTTATTTGAGTCGATGATCCTGAGCTGTCCCGTCATTTCGAGCCCATAACGTAAGAAATCGAACCGAGACTGAGCGAACGCGAACATATTTCTGTAAATGGACTATTGCAAGCGAAAACTCACCGACGTGTTTGTCCTCGTTAGGAAGGTTCTGTGAACCGTTGTTGTTAAGGTCTTGACAGGTGCTGACTGAGCACCTTCTGTCGTCATTTTGAGCCCACAACATCCAAGATCGGGCGTAAAATGAGCAATCGCGAGCGTATCCACTAAGGAGGATCCCTCAGGCTCCGAATCTCCTGCCTATCCTTTCTGCTGCTGAAGATCAACTGAGTTACTTGGATTCAGACAGTCACCATAGCTTGTGGAACCAAAACAGTTCCTCCCATGATTTGGAAGTTGGAACCTATGTCGTGAGAGAACGGGCCTGGATTGAACAATACCTAAGAAATTTTCGGCCAGCAGACTCACCGTTGCCTTAGTGACCGGCGAGCGTAGTATAGTCCGAGCACTAAGACCTGGATGGAACGATTGACGGAGAGACAAACATACAAAAATACAGAGACACAGACAGCCAGACCAAGATAATCATAGACTAGTACACAAAGAGAGATGACATATGTATCCCAAGACCGTCACTCACCGTCGCGACGTCCATGTGGAAGGTGAGGGTTGAAAAGAGAGGAAGGCGGCAAATTCCCGGGCCGGTGACCAACGAGTCAAACCTAAAGCCACAGTGGCCCATGACCGTTTGACTCAAGTCTGTTAGATCTGCGAAATCACCGTCTCGAGGAGCAGATAATTGGCAGAGAGGTCCTTTGCTGAATCAGATAGGGCAAACGGCACAGTTTAGCAGCGAAAAAAGAGAGGCATATAGGGAAATGACCGTGGGAATTAATCGATAAAATCGATTTTTTTGGGGTATTTACGTGTCAATTTTGACGGAGGCGTAAAATAAATGACGGGGCGAAGGTTGAGTGTTGGTTTGAGCGTGTTGGGATGAAAAATATGGGAGAGATGTTTGAGAGCGTTTCGGATAAGGTTGAGTGGGTGTGACGAGGATGTGTTTTACGTGTCGGTGGAATAGAGAGGCGTGTGATAGTGGTGAAGACGAAATGTGAGGGTCAGAGATGAGAAAATTGACAGAGACGTGGGTGAGACGTGATAAATCGGGCAGAGTCGATGTAAGTGAAAATACGAGCGTGTTGGATAGGAGCGTGTTTCGAGATGCGGGAGACGTGTTTTGGCTAGGAGAGACGTGGAGAAGGTTAGGATTGACGTCAGAGTCGCGTTTTTGGGGTAT